GGATGTGACGTCACTTTTTGGTGGATGATCCAGATACGCAAATTTCAGGAGTCTTCTGCCCCGCCCCTGGCAAGTGACAAATGCATCGCTCAGATGTGGCTGAGAAGATGACAAAGTCTCTTGTTAGTGTGGACAATGGTTAATAGAGGAGAATGGTTATAAAACCCGACAAAGTTCTGTGTTGTATGTTTTTGTTCACGTTTTTGGCAAAGACCGTGCACAAAACAAATTAGTTGTTTACTTCTGACTCAGTGAGGAACTAACCAATAGAAAAGTTTCGGTAATATAATTCATATTTAGTGTATGAGCGCGAAACAAAAGGTTGTGCGTGGTCGTGGACCTTCCAACATAAATCTTGTCCTTTGATGGTTGTTGGGCTTTGTAACCCTTCCTCTCTACTAACTATGGGTAGGTCTAACGCGATCTAGTATCACCCACCTAGTGGACTAAAAAATCCTGCATTTTAAATGGCCACGCTACTAAAGTACTATTAGTATTAGTCCTCGAGTAGCGAAATTGGTGCAATCAAGCGTGACACTTTCTTTCTTTCGTTTATTCCCAAATAAATATTTCTTCAACTTGCATTTGCTAACTTTATTATTGCCTTTTCTGTCTGACTAGCCGGGAGACACTTCATTACTGTGTACACTATGACATCAACCATTCAAGCTAATCAACTATAATTATGTGTATTCTGAGTGTCCAGGCTACAGCTTAAGGGCCGTATGTGGTCACTGTTGAGACCATGAGAAACTTGACTATGGTAAAACCACAAAAATTTACAACGTAAGCAAGAATGTGCAGCCGTTGCCAAGCGTGGGAAAAAAAACGAGACAACACGTGCACACAGAGTCATAATGGATTTGGGTTTTTCCTGATTGGTCAAAAGTCTGATGTGTTTGCTCTCATTGGTTAGAGCGCGTGGTACAAGTTACATAAACAGGGTGCTTTCCATTTAAACATTTGAAATTCAAGCAAACGGGACGGCAATTTCCTTTGATTGTTCCCGAAAAATCCTAAACTACAGATTTTTTGAAAGCTTTCCAATTCTTTTTACAATTGAGTGGTAAAATTTTCGAACTGCAAACCATTCAACCGAAAATTCACGGCATGAAGTTTTCAAAAATTTGGATATATATAATTCGCGCGCTGTTGCCTAGAAATTTCGGAAAATTCAAACCAGAATTTTGAACCATCAAATGGAAAACGCCCACAGGGATCAAATGCGGCTGAGACAAGCTGTCCTCTATTAGGGTAGGTTTGACTCGAGTGCCTTCCACAGGGAATAATCTACAAATCACTCAACACAAGTAATTTACCTTTTCCTCGACCAAATGGTATATCGGAACAGTGACGCTTGACTTCCACTGCGCATGCCCTGTATAACAACGGGTCGGATTGTATGTCTGTGCGACCCTCTTTCATCTGACGATCTATCTCCTACAAAACAAACAGAAAATTACAAGTGACTACCGCTTAGTTGCAAATACCGGCATAGTTTTAAGCAAATAGTGACTCGACAAAATAGAATCGAGCATCACGCTGAGGTAATATACCGGAAAATTCTGTTAAGGGAACCTGAGACTTAATCAATCTTTGACGCAAATTCATTTCAGTAATAAGTACTCCAGAGTATCAGTCCTTGGACTTACACTCGGCTAGGGCTCTTGAGATATAACAATAAAATTTCTTCCGATACCAAAGCCCAGTTCTGTGCTGCTGGTTTGTTTTTTTACGTCATTAAAACGTTCCCAACATTTTTCATTGGATAATTGTAGAACTTCACAACACAAGACCCTTCCACTCCTGTAAAGAACTTAACATGACTTACCACGCGACAACGCTGTGATGCAATTGATCCTAAATGCAATTTGAGACACTCTTCCACGCCAGATGGAGGAATATCGCTACAGAACTTGCCAATCTGACAGAAGCAAAAATATTCTCCGTTTATGTAAAACCACACTATACAAATAACTGCCCAGGTGTTACGTAACAATTATGACTACGAGCGCAAGGTTTCTAAGAGCGAATAGTCTAGGAGGCGTAGCTGTGTTGACTATTGCTCGTAGAAAACAGGTCTAGTATAATCCAAATGTTTCACGCATCAGTCTTGATGCAT